GCCTCCTCTTATAGCTGCCTACGATGACACAGTAGTAGATAGAGGTCCAGGTCTACCCCTTAGCAGGCTGCCTCTGGTACATCCTGGCTCTGCCAACTGCAGCCTTGACCAGGGTGTTAACAGCTCTGAGCTTTGGTTTACCCATCTGTCTAGTTGGTATAATGCCACTTTGAAGGGTTTTGTGAAGACTGATACATTAAGTGGCTAGAGATTTAGCTCAGTGATTCCATCGCCTGCCTTGCAAGTGCAAGGTCCCGAGTTAGATCCCGGCACTGAAAAAAAAAGAATGACTGATACATTAACAAGTATATAAGGACATAGTGCTGTGTCTTTGGCAAAGACTAAATCCTTGTTAATATTAACATTTTCCTTCAGTTGGACGTGGTGGTGCACTCTTGTAATCCAGCACTCTGAGAGGCTGAGGTAGGAGGATAGCAACTTCAAGGCCAGCCCCAGTCAACATAGTGAGATTCTGTCTCACACACACACACACACACACACACACACACACGCGCGCGCGTGCGCGTGCATGGCCCAGAAAAGAAAAAAATTAAAAATGGGCTAGGAATCTAGCTCAATGCAGAAGCCTTGGATTCAGGCCTTGGTGCTGAACAATAAATAATAAATATAATAAATAATATAATTTTTAAACATTTTTTCCTAGAAGTAAAACTTCAGGACCATGGGGATTCCTTTTCCCTGGTAAGCTGGATCCATGCCTAGAACATAGTAGATGTTTAGTAACTATCTATCTAAGCAGTGAACAAATCCATCTCGTTGTCCATGCTGAGCTTCATACCCCCATGTTCACGCCAGAGCCCTAGTTTACAGAGAACGGGCACTGGCTTTGCTCTCAGGCTTGGTGCCATTTAGTATATTTTCCAAGCTGCAGGCCATTAGGAGATTTTTGTCTCCAAAACCCTACACATTCAAGGAAGGCTTGAGTTGCCTCTCAGATCTGGGCTTTCTTGTGCGGGGTGTTGAAGACTAGGCTCAACGGACATTTTTATGGCATATAAAGCCAGGTCTTTGGGGCTAGGACTTTGAGCCTTCCAATCTGAGTTTCAGCTCATGCTTCTGGACGTCTGACTAGTTGCATGCTAAACATTCCCAGCTGGGATCCTTTGACCTGTGCTGAGCATGCTCTCCCTCCAAGCTGTTCTTTGCAGCACCTGTGTGTTGAGAGTTTACTCATCCTACCAAGCCCGTCTTCAAAGCCGCCCCCTCCCAGAGCCATGCTGATTCTCAGCCTGAGTTGATATCTCTCTTTTCAAGAACTTGCTCTTTCTACTCCGCTCTCAGAAGGCCCCGTGCTCTAGCTGAGTGTTCGCCTGTCTGTCCCTTCACTAAGGTGGACTTCCTTAAGGACAAGGGGCCACATCATGAACAACTCTGAATAGCACCACTGGGTACCTCAGAACCTTGCATACAAACGAATGTTCCACCTGCAAGTGCAGGAGCAGCAGGCTTCTCTGGAGCAACTAAGCATAAGTATACTCAGAAGGAAAGGAAAGCCCCATACCAGCTTCCCCGCACCCTTTCCGTCTCTTCACTCCATCATCCTGGGCATCCTGTGGGCAGGCTGCTGATCTAGAAGGACAGTGGCCCCATTGTGAATGGCTGTGCCGGCATAAAATAGCTCTCAGTCTGGAATGAACCAAAGGGGAATATGGTTCGTGGAAGAAGCCGGGAGACGGGCTGGCAAGTTGGGCTGCTAGTGCAGGCTCTGGTTGGCTGGTGACCTTTGGCGTGCTTTTGACTTCTCAGAACTGCCCATACCTTGGCTTTATAATGAGGGCAACCTTAGTGCCTTCCCTAGCCCTTGCCACCAGGTACATAATGAAAGGGAAACCCCGGAGGCCATGTGACCCATATGCAGAGAGTGCCTCAGAGATAGTCGTCTTCCCAAATTCTGGCACAGTGTGGTGAGGACAGAAGGTTCACAGAATTACATTGCCCCTGGGAACCATGTGCTCTGCTGTCTCCCTGTGTCTCCACACACAATTACGTGGATTAAACAACATGGGAAGGGGACTCAGCATCTGGTCTCTAATGATATAGTAGGTGTTCAATAACTATCTGAGCCATGAGAGAAGACATCTGTTATCCATGATAAGCATGACACTTCCATGTTTATCCCATTCTGAACTCATCTTTACAGAGATGGGCAGGTCTCTGCTCTGCAGGCTCACTGGATAGAAACAAAGACCCAACAGATGCAAAGTATCATTGGGAACAAATAACCTAGGAGAGAAACTCAAGGTGGTAGCAGACACTGTTGTACTTTAGTAGAATGGTTCAGCTTTGCATCCTGGTTTTTTAAAAAGTTCTATTTCCCTTTTATGCCACAGGATGTTACCTTGAATTTATTTATATTCCAGTGATTGACTGTCACACCTCCAGAACCAAAGTCATGGGAGCAGCGGGTGCGTGAGAGCCCTCAGAATCTATTTCCTCCCTCTGAGGCTTCCCAGACCCCTGCCCGGTGGCAGGCACCATGCAGCAGGCAGCTTTCTCTCCAGATGTGCTGCGGTCACGAGCGACTCCAGCCATGCTGTCTGTCTTGCTCGGGTTTTGTATTGCACGGGGGTGGCTATGGCTCAGTTCTAAATGGCTTCATCCAAGGACCCAGGGCAAAGGAGCAGCCCCTGCCGGGGACAAAAGGGAAAAGAGTACGGACAAAGCCACGTAGCAGCCTTTGATATGGCCCCTGCAGCTTGTGCTCCACTCGCCACGGCAAACCACACTGCCAAGCCAGGCATCGGTAGGGTAGGGAAGTGTACTCCTCCTTCAGGGCAGCACCACGGGGTTCAAAGTGTAATCCTCTTATACAGGAAGCAGGAAATAACGGAAATGATAATACGCTCTGCCACATGCTGTCATGAGTGCTACCTAATTTTAGTCTTATGATAACCCCAGGAGGTCCATATTACTATACTTGTTTTATAGAATGGAAAATTAAGACAACATGGCTATCTAACTTACCCAAAGCATAGCTGATATTTAGCGCCACTGCCCCGCTTGAAGCTGGGCCAGTGCCTTGAGCTGGGCAGCAACTTCTCGAGGACTCATTTTCCTGTACATGTTACCATTCAGTAACTACTTACAAAGTATGTGACTGTGCCTGGCACTGCGCTAGGCTTGGGAGACACGGCGATGTATGAAAAGGACCCTGTTGCTGTGCTCCTGGAGACTGGGGTCAAACAAGAAGCGTGCAAGGTCTCAGTGGGATGTGCTTCCGTGGGAGAGAGGCGGGCACAGCCAGCTGTGGTAGGAGGAGCCAGCCAGGGTCAGGGCACAGCGTAGAGGACAGAGCTGAAGGACTTTGGCCCATGGCTTTTGTCAAGGCCCTGAGTGCCAAGGACAGTTTCTGACTCAGAATCCTGAGGGCATTCACCGGAAGTCAGAGCCGATAGGCACGTGCCCAGCGTTATCGGTGGTTTATGGCAGGACCTCATCAGGACCTCACCTTATGCTTCCAGGACTGTGTCCAAAACCCTTATCAGGCCTGTCCTGAGGCTTTGTCCCTGCCTCATGCACATGCAGATACCCAGAGACTTCCCCCTAAGCCTGAGAAAGAGAAACTAGATTTATCTGATTGTGAATCAGCCCTCTGGCACGCACTGCTTAGATTGCCGAATCACACGCTCTCCCTTCCCTAAGTGGTTTTCACTTTAACAGCATGGGGATAAACGAAGAAGGAAAGAAATCCCCTGCCATGGTTTACTAAGTGGGCCAGAAGAGTAAGAAAAACAACCTTCACGTCACAGCCCTTTCAGTACCAGGGCACAGGACCCAGCGCTGTAAGCATGACCAAGTAAGTGTGTAGTAAGCAACTGCCTGTCAGACACAGGGCAAACGTGCTGGGAAATGGCCACTCCCCAGCGAGGCGCGGCCCAAGAGAATAGCGGGTACAGCCACAGACGGCCCCGCTGGGGGTGCACAGGCTCCTGAAATGGCCTGAATATGTTCCTGGCCAAGTACACCTATCCCTGAGTCTCTGGTCCAATGTTACATCTCTGAAACTTCCTTGGACATTTCAGAAGATATCACAAAGCCAAAGTCCTGGGTTCAATGCCTAATACCATCACTACCACCAATAAAAAGAAAAATAGGAAGAAATTTATTAGGAGGAATTTGCTTCCTTGGTTATGGAAGCTGGGAAATCCCAGGGTCTGCTGTCTGCCAGCTAGAGAACCACCAAGCTGACAGCCAGAACCAGCGAGCCAATGGTGTAAGTCCCAGCCTGAGTCCAAAGGCCCAAGAGCCGCAAGCACCAGGAGCAGCAGATGTCCCAGCTCGAGCCAAGACAGCAGGTCAGCCCATCCTCTCTGCCTTTTGGTTTATTCCCTCCCTCAGCAGACTGGATGCTGCCTGCCCACATTGGCAAGAACAGATCTTCTTTACTCAGTGTTCCAAATGCAAGCACACATCTCTTTTGGGAATACCTTCCCAGACACATCCAGGAAAAACACTTTTTAAAATATCAGACTGGGAGGCCGGGCATGGTGGCGCACACCTGTAAATGCCAGCACTCAGGAGGCTAAGGCAAGAGGATCACTGTGAGTTTGAGACCAGCCTGGGCTACATAATGAGTTCCAGTTCCAGGTCAGTCTCAACTACACAGTGAGACCCTGTCTCAAAAAAAAAAAAAAAAAAAAAAC